CTCCCTGTGTGGGGCAGAAATAGTGTTGCAGGAAGTGATTCCAGATCATTAAAAAACAGCAGCAGCAACGACAAAAATACCCAAATCAGGTTTCCCGAGGATAGATTTCTGATCTTTAGAACCCCAGAGGGTTGCATTGATTTCCAAAGAGCTTTATCCAAGATAACCAACTTTTAGTGTTGAATGCTGGATTTCTGCCCTGCAGCTCCCCACCTCTAGCTTTTCTATGCATCTGGTCATTTCCCCTGTACTGGAAGGTGGGCTAAGTGTGCTTGTTAGCCTTTTCCTTTCAGAAAATGCAGACTCTTCCCTCAAGTTTCCTGGATCACCTGGTCTGGTGACTCTTAAGTCGTGGCCTACTGAAGGCAGGCATCATCACCAGCTGGGGTGTTTATTATGCATGTAGATCCAGTGGCCCCGACATACTGGGTTAGATGCTCTGGAGTTAGAGTCCAGGAATCTGTGATTCACAAGCTGTCTTGCCCAATATGTATTTATTTATTTAGTCCAAAGTACACTCTTCTTTTTTAAGTTTATTTATTTATTTTGAGAGAGAGAGTGTGTGTGTGAGCAGGGGAAGGAGAGAGAGAGAGAGAGAGAGAGAGAGAGAGAGAGAAAGAACCCAAAGCAGGTTTGGTGCTGTCAGTGAAGAGCTTGACGTGGGGCTCAAACCCACAAAATATGAGATCATGACCTGAGCCGAAACCCAGAGTCAGCCACTTAACTGACCGAGCCACCCAGGCACCCAACCCAGTATATTTTTAGAGCTGTCACTCTATTGTCCTCCTGCCAGCTCAGATGTCTTATCTGTGGGGCATGACAGGTTCCCAATAAACTTAAAGGCAGGTGGTCATCTTTAAAGAAGGATCTAGCATATCTTGACTCAGGTTATCCCTTTGCCTACCTATGGTGCATTCTCTGAGGACCCATTTAGTGAGGCCCTCCTATACCTAACATCCTTTCATACATTTAGATGAGTGATCACTTAAATTCCCACTCCCAGGATGATAATTGCTTAATCACACAGAGCAGATCACAGACAGTCTTAACAATGCCTTCTGCACACTGAGCTCTTACCACCTTCCAGGTGCTGTTCTAAGACCTTTACACATACCTATTTGTTTAATGACAACACTACGAGGTAAATACTATTTTGTGGGCCTCATTTAACAGATTAAGAAACTGCAGTCCAAAGAAGTTAATTAACTTGCCCAGAGCTGGGATTGAACCTAGGCAGTCTGCTGCGGAGCCTTGTGCTTCTAAACACTGAGTTACACTGCCAGGTGCAGAACAGGCTTACACTCTACACTCGCTACCCCAGTGGAGAGGGGAAGCAATGAGGGTGTGTGCATGCTTTCTCACAGGGAAGCCATTCTGGGACATCATATGTCCAGGGTGTTGGTTACCATTTTTCTGGGGCACTGGCGATCTCCCTTGTTTTCATTTAGTTACTGCATGTTTAGGAGAATGGCTTGCACACAGACATTCTGCTCTGCCTCAGTATCAACGCAAACATTAGGCAGAGTATTCCTGTGATACCCTGTCCAAGTTCTTCTTTGACTTGGAACACCCCCACCCCCACCACGTTCTCTACAGCCATGTATGCCCATAGATATAATTTCATATCCTGGGAAGCATTCCACAAGGGCATGGAATTGTATGGAAAATCTTCTAGGCCAGTGACTCCTAACTTGAGATGCTACTATTATAATGACCAAGAAGACCCTGTTATTAAAGAAGACCCTTTATTAAAAAGACCCTGTTGCTCAGTCCACACTGTGGATTATCTGGTGGTGAGACACTCGCAGCAGGATTTTTATATTTGCAGTGTGGAGCCAGTCTCCAGCAGTGGAGGCTGGGGAAGCCCGGCGCTCAGCTGAGTGACAGCTTCAGGAAGACAGCTGTTGTCTCTGATTGTGTGGCTGTTTCTGCCTGATGCGTCCCTTTCTCCCTCTCTCCCTCATGTTATGGTGGTTTCTGTTTGAATTGGGAGAGTAAACCAGATGTGCCTTTCAGGCACTGGAGTCTAGCTGCTCCAGGATTCAATAAAACAATAGTCTTATTGTTTTAGTCCCATCTACCATGTTCCTATTTATTCAATAAACCATCACCGTGATAACAAGCATTCTGTTTGTCTCAGAATGTTCCTCTTTCTCCACAGCTGATACTTTGGATTGTTGAAGTTTGAGATGTTTGTCTGATCTACTGGGGCTTTAAAGCAAGGAGGAACCAAAATGCCAGGGTGTTGGGAAAGGCTGAGGTCCTGCAGGATTTTTATTGGCACATCATGAGCTGTACAGGAAAGGGGGCAGAGAGTTTCTGAGCAAACACATGTGAGGCAAGAATAACAGGCACAGGGCATCCTGAGTCAATGCACCTCTACCCTGATGAGGTTCATGGGCATGGTCAGACCTCATGAGTGGTCATTGTGCTGCCCTGGCAGGTTACCAGAACCAGGAGCCAAATGTGATAGTGTTCACCCCAGACGGCTTACTCTCCCTCTTTCTTGTCTTTCTTTTTATCTTCTCTTTTATTGCTTTCACCCTCCCACTCCCCTATCTCCACATCTCTCTGTCTCACTCTCTTTCAGTGGTAAGCCTTGTTCAGAATATCCAGTTTGGAGATCTTCCTGACAGTGTGCTGGGCTCCTTGAAGTCAATAGTATTTCCAGTAGAATCCACCCATCCTACTGGCACCTGCATTATTTGGACTCCCCCAGGGAGCCCAATGCTAACAACAATTGTTACTTACTATATATTTTTTTTCTGTTCAAATTATATATCTACCTTTTTTAAAAGAAATTTTTAATCTTCATTTATTTTTAAGAAAGAGACAGAGTGCAAGCAGGGGAGTTGCAGAGAGAGAGGGAGGCATAGAATCCCAAGCAGGCTCCAGGCCCTGAGCTGTCAGCACGGAGCCTGATGCAGGCCTTGAACTCATGAATTGCAAGATCATGACCTGAGTCGAAGTTGGACAATCAACTGACTGAGCCACCCAGGCGCCCCTACAGACCTACATTTAATTGGGCAAATGGTTACAATAAGAAGAGAAAAACTTTTTTTTTTTTTAAATCACTTTCACCAAATGGCTTTTTTTTTTTTTTTAATGTTTTATTTATTTCTAGGAGAGAGAGAGACAGCGCGAGCAGGGGAGGGTCAGAGAGAGAGGGAGACACAGAATCCGAGATCGGAAGAGCACACGGAGCTGGCAGTCAGCACAGAGCCCGAGCGGGGCTCGAACCCACGAACCGCGAGATCATGACCTGAGCGAAAGTCGGATGCTTAACCGACTAAGCCACCCAGGCGCCCCAGAAGAGAAAAACTTTTGAAGTAAGCACTTTAAGCCAGTATTATATTTTATTTTATTATCATTTTTAAAAGTTTATCTGTTCAATGAGAGAGACAGACAGAGAGAGAGAGAGACAGACAGACAGACAGACAGACAGAATATCCCAAGCAGGCCCTATGCTGTCAGCAAGGAGTCTAGCTAGGGCTCGAACTCATGATCAGTAAGATCATGACCTGAGTTGAAATCAAGAGTCGGGCTTTCAACTGACTGAGCCACCCAGGAGCCCCATAGCCAATCTTATATTTTAAAAATAAGATGCAGAAAATTTGACAAAGGGTCATTTGAAAGCAAATTTAACTGCACATCATTAAAAAAACCAAGCTTTTCCAGAAATATACTGCCATTTAAGAGTCCCATTATTTTATATGTGTGGAATATGCCACCCACATCGTAGCTGGTTCTTCTGGTCGATTGAGAAATAACCTTTCTTACCAATTTTTCACTGAGTATCCATAGGAAAAGTTATGATCAGACCATGATGAATAAGCTCAAAGTTATTTTCACATGAAACGATAATGTTTTATATGGAAATGTATATATTGCAAAATACAAAATCAGGATGTCAAACTGATCTTTTTCTCTGGTCTAAGTATTCTGGGAGTAAACCCAAATAGCCCCATCAGACTGGGTGTACTACTGATAAAATTAATTAGACTGAATTAGCAGCTTTTTGAGCTTCAGGGACTACTAACCTTCATTCTTTTTTCCTTGCTTCTTAATTAAATGCGCGCGTGTACGCACGCGCGCGCACACACACATGCACACACACACACAACTTCATTTTAGAAGCCATGTACCCACCTTATCGAAATGTTGATGAGGGAAAAAGTCCCCCACAATTTCATTACTATGCTAAGAGTACTTTCTGTATGGGGGTATTCCTTGTAGATTTTTTTCTAAACAAGTTACTTCTTAAAAAAAATAGCACATAGGGGCCCCTGGGTGGCTCCGTTGGTTAAGCATCCGACTTAAGCTCGGGTCATGATCTCGCTGCTGGTGAGTTCAAGCCCCATGTCAGTCTCTGTGCTGATGGCTCAGAGCCTGGCGCCTGCCTCTGATTCTGTGTCTCCTTCTCTCTCTGCCCCTCCCCAGTTCATGCTCTATCTCTCTAAAACAAATAAGCATTAAAAAATTAAAAAAGTGTATAAATAAACTTATGTTATGTTTTTTCTTATAGTATCATAAGCATTTTTACGTGTTGTGGCATAAAATTCACAACCAGTTTTGTAAATGGCTGTCCATTCTGTTTAGGAGATGTGGGTTTATACCATTTATTTAAACATGCCCCCAATTTCGAAGTCCACTACCCTAAGTATTGCTGTCTTTGTGAATAAAGCCTCCTCCAGCCCCCAAGCCACTCTCCAATATTCTGGAGGATTTCTCCGGAATGCATTTTCAGGATGTGACTGTTTTGGTTCACCGAGCACCTCCACACAACGCTGTTGGAGAACCAGCAGGCATTACAGAATCTCTGCTAAATAACCCACATTGATCGCTCATTTTGTGATTTATCTTGGTTTATTTGCTCTTTGGACTTTGATTCATGGCACCAAAGGGCAATCTTGGAAATCATTTACCCACCAGCTGAGGTCACTATGATTGTGGCTCATAAAAGGTCAAGTGGAGCAGGCCAGAGATGGGGATCTCAGCCACCGATACTCTTTCCACAACAATTCTGGGCCTGGTGGCAGCAGGGAGGAGACATGGACAAGTTGTCATTGTGTTTCCTGGTCATCATCAGCATCCCTGGTGCTTTTCTCCTAGAAGGTAAGTGTTGCTTTGAATGGTCTCTGAGTTCTTGTCTCTGGGCCAGGCTGTGTAAAGCCATCGGGAAAATGGCCAGCGTGAGGAAGGGATGGTGGTTTGGGGAAGAGGGCAATCTGTTTTCTGAATCCATTCTGTCCATACATAGTGACAGAATACACCTTCATGGCCTAACAGGGTGTTCAAAAAGAGACCCTAGGCCCTAATGGAATCACTTGTGTTAAGCGCCCCATCAGCAAACCAAGACTTAACTACCTAACCTCACTTCAGTGCTAGCCTCCCCCTGGAATATAACCTAGCCAGTCAGTGGGTTAGCAACTGGTTAGCACTACCGAGGTAATTCCCCTGCAAACAGCCCTTCCTTCCCCCAGGGGAAGGAGACTCTGCTTGAAATAATCTACCCCTTGCTAGAAACTTTCTCTTCCTGAACTTTCTCCCATGCAGCTCCTCAAGGTCCTTTCTTTCTGCTAGATGAGATGCTTCACGAATCAGTGAATAAGGCAAATTAGATCTTTAAATTTACTCCTCTGAATTTTGTTTTTTAACATAACTCAACTGTTGACATTTTCTCTCTCTGTTTTCTTGTCCCACAGACCTGAAAAATAAGGCCTTTGTGTTCCCTCAAGAGTCTGATAATTCCTTTGTGACCCTATTTGCTCAGGCCCAGGAGCCACTGAAGGCTTTCACCATATGCCTGAAAGTCCATACAGCCTTGACCCGCCCATATAGCCTCTTCTCTTATGCCACCAAGGCACATTATAATGAGATCCTCCTCTTCAAGGAAAAGCTTGGCATATTCAGCATATCTGTGGGTGGCACTGACGCCTACTTCAACATTCCGGAGAGTGCTTTTGAACCAATGCACTTCTGTGCTACCTGGGAGTCCATCTCAGGGATTGTAGAGCTCTGGGTGAATGGGAAGCCCATGGCGAGGACGAGCCTGAAGAAGGGATACACTGTGGGGACAGAAGCATCATCCTGGGGCAGGAGCAGGATTCCTTCACTGGGAGCTTTGATAAGAACCAGTCCTTGGTGGGAGACATTGGAGACATGAACATGTGGGACTTTGTGCTGACACCAGCTGAAATGAACACCATCTACAATGGTGAGATCCCAAGTGCCAACGTCCTGAACTGGCAGAATATGATGTACAAGGCACAAGGTGAAGTGTTTGTCAAGTCCCAGCTGTGGATCTGAGATCTTTTGTCGGTCTTGAAGTTGCCTCCAATAAGGGGGGGGGGGGTCACACCTTGCAAGGCCCTCATTTGTCCTGGCTCTGAGGGGTGAACCCTACATGCATGGGGGGCTGTGTTTCCCTCTGCCTCCTCCACTCTGCTTTTAACAGCGCAAGGGACAGTGCAGGGCAGAGGGGTTGTTCACGACTGTACATCAGAATCACCAGGCCATACTACCCGATCTGGGGGAGGGGCGCCTGGGGGGCTCAGTCGTTTGAGCTCAGGCCACGAGCTCACGGCTTTGTGAGTTTGAGCCCCATGGTGGGCTCTGCACTGACAGTGTGGAACCTGCTTGGGATTCTCTCTCTCTCTCTCTCTCTCTTTCTGTTCCTCCCCCACCTGCACTGTGTCTCTCTCAAATAAATAAATAAACAAACTTAAAAGAAAATCTGATTTGTGGCACCATCAATGTTTCTAAAGTTCTCCAAGTGAGTCCAGTGTTCGGTCAAGATGGAGAGCCATGCATTTGAAGTGTGTTTAGGAGCCAACTTTTTTTTTTTCCTCTTGGAAGACCGCGTATGTTTACCTGTAGTCCTGTCAACATTTTAATTTCTTTTTAAAGGCAAACCCACTTCATTTTATGGTGCTTTCATGAGTTATCTGCATAATCCAGGAGGAGAATTTTCCCAGAATTCTGACCCCACCATCCATCAGGATGTGGTCATTGTAATTTAGAATTCTCTTTAATTATTTAATCCTTTGAATTTGAAGATTTAAAAATCTAATGAGAAATGTTTTGTTGTCGTTTAGGTTTAATTTGTTCTTTTTTCTTCTGGATCCCCAATTTTCATTGTGTGATATTTCCATTATTTTCCCTTCTTATTTATCATCACCCAGACCACTCTTAACCTATGTGCTTTGTCCTAATAATATGAGCTTTTATTTTTTTAAGCCTTTCTGTCACATCAGTGATTTGTTTTGCTGTCTGGCTTATTGGGATCCCTGCTATTTCTAATGCCTCTGAAAATCTCACAGTGCTTTCTGAGTTTGTCTGGAATCTCTTCTTGGATTTAGTATCGTCTTCTCATCAGGTCCCTGTTTTCTTCAGTTTGCTTGAGAGTTTAATACCTAACATTTTCTGAATTTTCCTGTCATTACTCTTTTTGAATTTTTTAAAATGTTTTATTTATTTCTGAGAGAGAGAGAGAGAGAGAGAGAGAGAGAGAGCATGAGCAGGGGAGGGTCAGAGAGGGAGATACAGAATCAGAAGCAGGCTCCAGGCTCTGAGCTGTCAGCACAGAGCCCAACGCAGGGCTTGAACCCATGCACTGTGAGATTGTGACCTGAGCCAAAGTTGGATGCTTAACCCACTGAGCCACCCAGGCGCCCCATGTCATTACTCATTTTGAAATAAATCTTTTCCCTGCCTTAAGTACTGGTCTTTCATGTCTTAGTACTTTTCCATCATCCACCTGCTCAAAGCCAGTGTGAGGGGTGAGTTCTTGAGCCCCTTCCTGCTTGGCTGGCCACGGTGAGACCCTGACAACTTCAGCAGGCCACCTGGGGACTCATACGACAGCCTGCAGCTCCCCTTCCAAGTGATTGTCACTTCCACCAGTTTCTGCCAAGCATCCCAGACGCTCGCAGGTGCGCGTTTTCAGTTATTTGTGTCATTTCTGTATCTGCGGAATGATCGGGAATGCTGGAGAGGACACAGGTAACAATAGCAGCCTGATCCAGCAAGACCAGGTCTTGGCCCTTCTGGAGGGTCCTAGGCTGGGGAAGCTCCGACTCTCTCTGACTGGCTGCTTCTTTTGGGAGGAGGAGGGGCTTGTGTGTGTTTGTCCCAAGCCTGACATCCACTGGTCCACAGCTCAGGGGTCACGTTTCCTGTGCACGTGACAGCTCTCTCCGGGGCCCCCGGACCCTTCCCTCTCCACCAGGTGGGAAGTCAATAGAGATTCTCGTTTCTGCTCCATCTGGAAGTTTAGATGTGAGGGAGGGGGGCTCAGGAAGGTCCCAGCTGCATTCTCTGCCAGCCACAAGGCTGGTGCTGGGATCCTTATCTGAGTCCTATCTCGATCTCTCAGGTCCTTTAGAACGTGCAGAGAGGACGTACGCCTGTCCCCTCAGAGCCGCAAATGCCAGGAGAAGGACCCTCTTTGGTTGAGAGCTCTGTACTTTTTGCACCTCTAGGAGCAGGAAGGGGCCAGGCAGCGCTCCAGGCCTAGTACAGGTATAATCGAATGGGCCCCGCCCCCCACCCCACCCCCGTCCCTGGGGTGGGGGCTTACACCTGAGGCCAGCGCAGTCTTGCCCAAGAATTCCAACTCTGTACTTTGCAATGCTCCCCAGGGGCCCGGGTACATTCATCCCAAACCAGCAGAGCCCTGGTGCCTGGGTCATTGGCCTTTGCGTCATGGGCATCATCAAGCCCTGATGGCAGCGCTAGGTTCTGTTCCTCTCAACATGCTGTACTCATGTTCAGGGTCAAGGGGGGCCCATGGAAGGTCTCATCTGCACCTTTCTACTGGTCACTGGAGTTTCTTAAAGCCCCTGCCCCTTTCATCTAGGGTTTAAGATACCACCACGTGAGCTCATATCCTGGTCCGTCTCTTAACGGGCAAGAGGAGATGTTAGGCAAATTGTTTAAAACTCTTTGTTCCACAGATTTCCTCATCTTTCAAATGGGCAGAATGTAGGGCCTCCTTTCCTCGCACGAAGCTAGTGCTCCATGCCTGTTATCTCTGATTTGCTAACAGTACTGGTCACCGGATCACCCGGGTGGATTTCAGAGACCCAGGCTCTGGACCAGAGACCCGGTAGGTTGAAGAGATCCAGCAATGGATGGCTGCAGAAAGGGGTCTCCGGCCCTGAGGGGGACGTGTCAGCTTGCCGTGGAGACAAAAATCATGGACATCGTCACAAACTTAAGGGACAAGGGGTACATTTGGAAGGTCTGTCCCCGGGAGGCTGTGCTTTCAGGAAACAGGTTCAGTCAGAGGCAGAACAGAGAGACAGCGAGAGGCAAAGAAGCTTCCGAATTTGGCAGAAAACTCTCACTCAGATGTTTAGGGGGACATCAGAAACGCGGGGATGGGGGAATTAACTTAAAATGACAGGCTTCATGCTAGGGGGAAACCACCAGGAAACGGGAAAGGAGAGGGGTTCTGTGACTCGCCCTGTGGGGCTGCAGGACAGAAGGACAAGACCAGCGGGCAGCGTCGGCCACTCTCACGGCTCAGGGCAGGCTGGCTTCACAGGACAGAGGGGCTACCGAGGAGGAGGGAGATGTTACAGGGAGCCGCACAACCTCAAACTCCCGGGGCCCAGACGTGGTGAGGCAGGTGTCTCCACCACTGAACAGCCTGTCACCTTGGGCCCAGAAACTCTAACCTGAGGACTTGTGGTGGCTGGGGCTGGAGGGCAGGGGGTCACGGCGGGACTCTGTGGAGTGGCCAACCCTTTCTTTGCCAGGAGGTCAGGCCCAAACAGGAAGCCTCTTCACACAGGCTTCCCTCTTGTCAGTAAGCAGAGAGAAGAATCTTTCTAGAAGTAAACGAGAGCCACCCCCTCCTGCAGCCTCTAGAGCAGCCTGGAACCGGCCCCCTGGTCCTTGGGGCCCTGTGTTTTCTGACCTCTCTCCCTCCTGCCAAGTGCCTATTCGGAGCCCCCACGACCATGTGCACAGGGCTTGGATGCGCGAGACAGCCTGGAAAACCACAGCAGCAGGTGACATCCAGTCTCATCAACTGGGACCTCCATGACAGCAGGTGTTCACATGCCACCATGGCTCACACTTTGTACACATTCCTTGCCAGGCAGGGTCTACGCAGCTCGCTTTCCTGCTCTGTTAGGACTTGCTAAGCGGATATCACTACCTGAAAAAAACTGGGGGTGCGGGTTTCGTCATTTCCTCTCCTCCCAGATCGCAAATTCCCCGAGAGTAGCTGCATCATCACCTATTGTATTCCCAGCTTCTAGGGTGGTGTGGCTCCTAATATGTCCTCAATAAATATCTGATGAATTCATTAATTCCAGAGAAGGCGGCAACAGGGAAGAAATGGCTGGGATGCAGTTGGGAGGGAGAGATTCATGGAGTGGGAGGTTGGGAGGCCATCATTTTGCTCACGGAAGAGTGTGTTGTAAGTGCGACAGCCTGCTTCTTAGAGAGGGGAGGGGGTGGTCAGAATCTGCATTGGATTTCAAATGACACTTCTGGAGATAAAGCAGGCAGGGAAATGGAAATTAAACAGTTATTAAGAATAGGGACAGGACGCCTGAGTGGCTCAGTTGGTTAAACATCCCACTTCAGCTCAGGTCATGAACTCACGGTTCGTGGGTTCCGGCCCCACGTCGGGATCTGTGCTAACAGCTAGCTCAGAACCTGGAGACTGTTTCAGATTCTGTGTCTCTCTCTCTTTCTGACCCTCCCTTGCTCATGCTGTCTCTCTCAGAAATAAATAAAACATTAAAAAAAAAAAAAAAGAATAGGGACGCCTGGGTGACTCAGTCAGTTAAGCGTCTGACTTTTGATCTCAGTTCAAGTCATGATCTGGTTTCATGAGTTCGAACCCCGCATCAGGCTCTGTGCTGACGGCTCAGAGCCTGGAGCCTCCTTCCGATTCTGTCTGTCTCTCTCTCTCTCTCTCTCTGCCCTTCTCCCACTCACAATCTCACTCCCAAAAGTAGGTTTAAAAAAATTATTATGAATAAATGTTAGAGCAGGCAGTTAGTTAAGCTCTGACAGGATACGTGGGGGCCAGCAGTGAGGCGGCCGTGGCCGGCTATGGCGAGAGTCGGAGGCCTGTCCCCTGCAGCGCTCCACAGGAAGCCGGATCAAACCAGACAGGCCCAAGATGGCGGATGCCATGACAGGAAACCCCTGACCAAATTGGGAAGAAAGAGCAGGAACCCCTGCTTCCTGCCCCAGGCAATAAATATTCCATCCCCTAGTTAACACCGGTCAATAAGAGATAGAAACTCAATCCCCCAGGTCACGCAGCTCTCTCTCTGGAGCTCATGGTTCTCATAACTGGAGAGTATGTCTTTCTCCTTAATAAACTTTCCCTCTTGGGTTACTCATGTGTGTCTGTCTTTGAATTCATTCTTATAACAGACCGAGAACATTCAGTGACTCCTTCGGGTGTGGCCGGGTGGAGGCGGCAGGGCCTGGCTTCTCCCCGGTTCACCAAGCAATGCCAGTAGGCAGGTAAGGGGGAAAAAGACTACACTTATCGAGACAAGCACTGAGCAACGC